TCCCTGTGCATTGACCGGCCGATCTTCGGCAGAGGAATATTGCTTCCGAATACCCTTACTTAATCGAAATTGTCTATCATCAAATGTGGACAGCACATTATTTAAAGCATGGAAATGTCCCCCAAATACTTTCGCGTTTGTCGAATCCCACGCGATGTTTGACGCGACTACGACGCTATGACCTTTGTTTGTCCTGTTTTTACGTTCGATTTCACGCATAACGCGTGATTCTCGCAGTGAACGGAAAATGGTCTATTCGTTGCGTGAAAATTCTGGCTAGAACGTTTGACTAACCTACAAGCATGGAAGTCCATGCTACAAGTGACTCCACCAGATTAAAACAAAATGTTCATTTTTAAAACGTGTTTTTGTGAGCGCAAATTCACTATGGTATGTAGCGGAAATGTACCTCGCGGTCATTGACGCTGCAGTTCGGCGTCTTTTACACCGATCTGGCGCATATCGCGCAAGGTGTGCCGGGAGTTTTGTTCGAAATTTCGAACGTTTCGAAGTCGATCGTCGATTGCCACGTATTTTACGGATATATTAAATCGTTTCAGAGACCTGTTTACTAAATCATTTTGAAACTTAGAAAACTTGTAAGAACAAACTGGGCCCAAATGGCGCAAATTGCAATAAGTTTACGCTACTAGAGTCTGGTTCGGATGGAGAGAACTACGCGTGATTTTATTGCGCTCAAGGACGTTCTTTTTTTGAACTAGTTGAAACCGGAAATAACGCAACTACTTTCGAACTTCAAACACAAATTTGATTATCGTTATTATGTGTTAGTTTCTGTTGTTTCAAAAATTGAATTATGTATGACAATAATATTTCACTCAATAAACAATATTTCACTAAAATATGTGATTAAAAGGCAACCCAAATTGTAAAAAGCAATATCAAGTTCCGCGTATAAACACTGTTGTGAAGAGGCGGCGGAGCGGAATTTTAGCCAAAATCGGCTAGTAAGGCGTCATATGACACTTCGCTGGTTCCCGGCGTCCTTTGCGAATGGCAGGTAGGACGCAGGTAACTAGTAATCGCCATATTGTTCCATTTGGGCCGGTTTTCAGGCCGGAAGGAACGCGACTGGGTGACGTAATTTGAAAACATTCCAAGTTCCGTTCTGCGTAAACATGTCTATAATACTACAATAAAGCCATGCTCAAACATACTGCCTGCTTAGATTTACACATTTGAGATGTTTCTGACATTCTTCGCTGTTTCTGTGAAAATTTATAACAAAAGAAACAGTTTTTCATTCACCCAACCTTCGAAAGTAAAAGGAAACCCCTGAACGGCCACGAGCGTAAGCGCTGCCGTCAGGTATCCAAGGGAAATAGAACAAGCAACGAGAAAGTGATGTACCAATCAGAATGCCGGAACAGTTACTAGTTACCGGCCTCTTGTGGCTTGGTACGCCATGACACTTGAGGCGGGAACCAGCCAACATATGACACATGTTTGTGCTGGGACAGCGCTTCCGGTGACGACACAACGCCTCGCGGTCAATCTCCTTCCCAGAGGCCTTTGCGCTTTACGCAATAGTGCCTCTGCCACAGGCAGCCTTCAATTTTGTGGTCAATCACCTCACTACGCACGGCCATTTTTCTGTAGCTGTTACATCTGAAAACTTACTACAAAAAGTGGGAAAAAAACGTATGTGACATCCGAACTATTTATTAATGTCAGACTTCAGTAAAAACGTAAATACGAACCATTTTATCGCGGACTATGTTTTGCGAGGTAATGTTATAGTGGTGAAATG